CGGCAAGGTCGGCTACAGAGCGTTCGTGCGCATGCGCACGAACGCTCTTTCACTTTCGGGGGGATTTAAACATCCCCCGATATTTTTTTTTAGTTTTTAGATTTTTGTGCACCCCTGGGGACTGCCCCAAGAGTGCACAAACCTCCCCCTCCCCCCCCAAAGCACGGATTTAGCGATCCGCACTCCGGGGGCAACTTGACTATTAGATATATAGATAGATTGAGAATGGGCACTACACTTAAATGTAAGACACATTTAAACTTTACAGAGAAAGACTGAACAGTGTGGCATAGTAATTAAGAGCGGTAGACCCTAATCTGGAGAACTGGGTTCGATCCCCCACTCCTCCACATGAAGCCTGCTGGGTGACCTTGGCCAGTCACAGTTCTCTCAGAACTCTCTCAGCCCAACCTACCTCACAAGGCGCCCATTGTGGGCAGAGGAAGGGAATGGGATTGTAAACCATTTTGAGACTCCTTAAAGTAGAGGAAAGTGGGATATAAAAACCTACTTTTCTACTTCTTCATCACAGGCTGTGTACCTCTTCCATACTGTTGCCTTAGAGAGCCAGTTTTGGTGTACTGGTTAAGAGCAGCAGACTCCAATCTGGAGAACCAAGTTCGATTCCTCACTCCTCCACATGAAGCCAGATGGGTGACCTTGGATCAGTCACAGTTCTCTCAGCCCAAAAAAACAAATCTAGCTCACCACAAAAAGAGCTAGAATTTCAGGGTGCCAGACAATCTTCTGATCTCCTGGCTATATTACACCCACTGCCATACAATAACAATTATTCTTATTTGTTGCCTTTTCAACACACACACATTTGGTTTTTCCTTCCCACATACCCATATGTCTGCCAACCAAGTATACTATTCATAGATCTAATTAAATGGGCTCTAGTCCATAGAAATGTATGCCACTTTACTAGTGTAACACTACACAGAGCTACTCCAGTCACTGACTGTGCCATAAGTCTACTAGCTTTCAAGGGATCAAGGGATTCCTTTTGGGTTTTATGTAAAAGACTAACAAAGCTCCCCAACTGGAACTTTTTCTTTCTACTACTTCCAGGGGTCATTTCGTAGAAAAAGAGGTGCAGGAGCTCATTAGGACAACTCATTAGCATAACTTATTTGCATATGCCACACCCCCTGACATAACCGGAAGTGTGTCAGAAGGCAACACCCACCGCTCAGGCTCCACTGGACTGTTTTGTATTGCTAGCTATTGGGGGGGGGGGGAATGTGCAGATCTGTCCTCGCAGAGGAGGGAGAGCTTATACCTGAATAAAACTTGGTCTTAAAGGTGCCACTGGACTGTTTTGGGCCAGGGGGCCAGAGGGTGCTCTGCAACTTACCTGGCTTCTTGCTCTGACTAAGGGCTGCTGGGAGCAGGGGGTGGGGTTTGTTGTATGTGCCCGCCCCCTGGGCTCTTTACTGCTGGAGCTCCGCTCCTGTGCGCTCCTGCAGGAAATGACCCCTGACTACTTCTCTCTTTTCAGTATGTCCCTGTACAGTGCTCTGCACCAGTTGCACATACAACCTTCTTTAACAGGCAGCAAACAACGTAGGTAGCACACCTTAATGGGTTCAAAACTCAACCTTTTGCCTGTCTTCGTAGGAAACACACAGAAACTAACCTCCCACCAAAGTCTGGCAACCAACACTCACGCAAGATGAAAAAGGGGGCTGCAGCAACAGAAGTCACAGGAGGCCCTGGTTGAGTGGGTGGGGGAGCCAAACGCAGTTCAGGGCTCTCCATTCCCTCCTCAAAGCACCCCCAAACAAAAGTAGTGCAGAAGGCTGGGGTGGGGAGATAAAGGGGGCAGACGAGGGGGTGAGGGGAGAGAGGGGGCAGCCGAGGCGGCACTCACAGAACTTGGAGGCCGAGGAGCTGATGTTGAGGTTGATCCCTACGGCGGCCTCTCCTTTGCCCGGCGCCGGGGCGCAGCCCTTCCTTTGCCCATGGGCAGCCTCGGCCAGCATCTGCATGTCGAAATCCTCCTGCGGGTCCAGGGACCCCCTGTGGGCGCATTCTCCGCGGGCCTCCACCGGGGAGAGCGGGGGAGGCGGCAGCGGTTGGTGGCCGTAACTGCCCCTCCTTCCTCCTCCTCCCGCTGCCTCCGCCGCTTCCCAGTTGTTGTGGTTTTGGTCGTCCATTAAGGCCTCGTAGCTGCTGCTGCTGCTACTGATGCTGCCGCCGCCGCCGCCGCCGCCCTCCTCCTCCATGCTCTCCTCCTCCATCCCGACAGGCCGGGGAGGGCCCGCTCGGCCCGGGCGGGGAGAGAGACGGAGAGCGGGGGAGGGGGGGGAGGGAGGGAACTGTCACAATCGGCTTCGTCCCATCGCGTCCCGTCACGTCTCCGAGCTACCGAGAACGAAAGCCGCCGAGCAGTTCTGAGCGTGCCCACCGGAAGCGACGAGTCCCCCTGCCGTAAAATGGCCCTCACTCACGCGACACTTTTGGACAGTCACTTAAGTTCATTGATGTGCCGGCTAGCTCTTGACGTAAGGTGTTGTGGGAATTGTAGTTTCGTCAGCCCCTTCCGTCCGCCGAGAAAGGGGAAGGACTGGGCAGTGTTTTGTGGGATACGTCGCCATGACATCAGAGGCAAAGTCGTCGAGGTTTTCCTCCTGGCCTTTTGCTTTAGAGGCTCCATAAAAAAAATCCAGAGGAGCAGCTGTGGTATTGCGCTGCAGCAGCTAAAATAACAACCTTGTTAGAGATCCAGTACTTCCCAAGCGCAAATATGGCACAAAAGCATAGCTCCGAAAGCACGATTGTCATAAAGGTAACGGTTTCCCTTGCTCGAAAGCTAGTCGAATATGACTCTAGGGAGCAGTGCTCATCTCCTTTTCCAAGCCGAAGAGCCAGCACTGTCCGAAGACATCTCTGTAGTCATGTGGCCGGCATGACTAAACGCGGAGGCGCGTGGAATGCTGTTACCTTCCCACTGAAGCAGCACCTATTTATCTACTTGCAATTTCTTGCTTTCGAATGGCTAGGTTGGCAGGAGCTAGGGCCAGAGACGGGCTCACTCTGTCAGGCGGCACTCGGGTCTCAAACTGCCAAACTACAGGCCTTCCAGTCTGCAGCTTCAGCATCTTGACCTCTTAGCCCCAATTTTTAAATGAGTGACAAGAATTCCAGGGTATGAGCTTTCTCTCTTCATCAGATCTGTTGGTCTTTAAGGTGCTCCTGGACTTCAGTCTTGCTGTTCTAAAACAGACAGACATGGCTACCTGTGTACAACAATTTCAAAATGGAATGAGATGAAATCTACTAATTCACATGTCCATAGACTGCACTGTTAAAAAAACCCCAGTGCTTCGTGACATTGCTATGGCACCAACACATGAATCCAAGATCCACGGGTCTTCCCAATTTTTTCATGCAATTCCATAAAATGCACATCTAAGACCTCAGGCTGCCCAACAAAAAGATGGGTCCCCCCAGTGCTTTCTGTCAAAACCATTTAAGTGCAAAGAGATGGAGTCTCCTGAGTTCACTTGATTTTTACATGGAGTCACACTAAATTTAAATCGCAACACCTTACACAGCCCATGGATATGGATGTGATGTGTGAGTTGATAATGGATATGAAAGGACTGCAAATAGCATCAGGATCCGTGTTTTCTTGAGCCATGGTGGTGCCATGAAGCTCTGGATTGATGCTTTTTGTAATGCATTCTAATTTATTGTCTCTTTATGTGGTAGATTATCCTGAGTGCTTTGTGAAGCCACATGGCAAGGTATGATTTTTTTATCTTGAAAACTGTGGGGGAGATAAGTAGTTCTAACAAAATGTGTGGGTGCTGATATTCCCTCTAAGCTGTGGAGTCTTGTGAGCAAAAATTCTACTTTGTGAGCTACTGGTATTAAAGTTGTGAGTGAGCAATTTGGCTACTGCATACATTAGTTTGCTCTGGAGCCATCCTTCCTGAGCTAAGACAAAAAAGTTTGATCCAGAGGCTAAAAAACTGTGAGCTAGCTCACACTAACTCAGCTTAGAGGAAACACTGGTCCTGACCTGACTACTAGTTCCCTCTTTCACCTGTAACTATTACTACAAATCATCACATCACCAGAACCAGTTTGGGGCAGATCTGATTCATAAAGGCAGAAGAAGCCAGTCACTAACTCATGTTCCAGTTCAGTTGACATAATTTCAAGACAATCAATGTCATAGAATTTGAATAAGATGGAATCAAAAGAAGTTTATCTTATAGTCCAAGATTCATTGTAGCTAATAATTTTGGGAAATATCTCCATCTAGTGGTATAACATTTCCATTCATCAATTGAGATGTCATATTGTATCCAACTGCTTATATTCAAAATAATTAAAACAGTTTTTAAAACAGTTCTAAACCACACATACAAAACATGTTGTCCAGGGCAGCTGTTTGATTTAAAAGGTTTCAATATTTTCCTACAGTCAGAGAATTTAAGAGCAACTGAGTGCTCAATGTACCTGCTTCTCACTGAGGTTATTTGTCCAGTATGGTGGACCTGAATTCAAATTCCTCTTCACTGAGGTTCTGTAGAATGGCCTTTTGTTGTCACTGTTTCCATCACATCACCTCAGCTTCAAAATATGAGTAATAATGATGTATCTCAGAGGAATGTGCAGGAAATGACTGAGATAATGTTTGTAAAGGATTTGTGCACACACAGTGCTTCCCTTTTTATGATTATTCAGAAATTAGTCCCAATGATTCGAGGGAACTTATTCCAAAGTAAATATGCATAGGATATTCTAAGCATGATTACTTGGGTATACAGATCCCAAGAGCCAGCATGGCGTGGTGGGTTAGAGTGATGGGCTAGGATCTTAGAGACTCCAATGCAAATCCCTACTGTGCCATGGAAGCCTGCTAGATGGCTTTGGGCCAGTGAAACACACACAGCCTCACAGGGTTGATCTGAGGATAAAATGGAGGAGAGGAGAATGTTGAACACCACTTTGGGTCCCCATTGCAGAGAAAAGTAGAGTATAAGTGAAATAGTAAATAAAGCAGAGTACATCACAGTACGCATGCACAGAACTGGGCTGCACAAGTGTGATCAGGATTAGTAATTCAGTAAAAGAAATCACATGACCTGGATTACCCAGGCTAGCCCAAACGTGTTAGATCTCAGAAGTTAAGCAGAGTTGGCCCTGGTTAGTATCTGGATGGGAGACCACCAAAGAAGTCCAGAGTCACTGCACAGAGAAAGGTAATGGCAAACCATCTCTGTCCCTCTCTGTGGGGTCACCATAAGTCAGCTGTGACTTGATGACACTTTCCGTCACCACCAAAAGCAATTTCAGTGCACCTCACTAGTAACCAGCTATTCATGAGGAACCTCAGCTTCAGGCCCAAAGCCAACTCCAAGCCCCATCCCAAGGGATGTTTGTGCAGAAATACCCATGTTAAGAAACAACTTCCAGCTCCAGTGACAATGACACTGATAAAATGCTGAACACACTGCACTAGCACTGTTCTTCTAACCGGGGTGCAAAGCAATAAAACTAATGGGAGGAAAAGAAGCCCCAAATAACTGTCCTTTATCTCCCATCTACAACATACATTAGTTCAAGGGGGTTTTTCCCAACAGAATTTCAGGACAAGGGTTAGAATTTCACGGGCGGGGGGGGATTAGAATATCAGCAGTTATGCCAATCAACTGCATTTTGCCCCCTGCCATATTCATGAGAAGGATAGTCATGATAATGATATGCAATTCATTATACAGTTCCGGTGTGATTCTTCAATGTCATCTCATTTGCCTACCACCTCAACTGTACACCAAGAGACAAAAGAGTCCATATGCCTGAATTCCCTCCAGGGGCTACTTAAAGATATTGCCACGATACCACTTGCTTCTCTGATATCACACCTACACTGGGAACTGAGAAGGAGTAGTGTACCAGCACAATCAGCAGCCCTAGCAAAAATATGCACTCCTGAAAACAACAGCGTCACATTTTATTACTACCTTTTGAAGACAAGAATCCCCAACCAATTCTATCAGCATGATTCATTAGTTTGTTGCCTCTGTTACAGCTAGCCTTTCTGAACATCCTGCTATCTCTGGCTTGAACATGGGCAAAAGAAACACGGGGTTAATTTATTGCCTTTGTTTGGTATTAGCTTCACATCACTGCTCTCTTGGTACACCAGGTGGTTTGCTGTTTTTAGCATCAATGGAGCCCATTAGGATGAATATAAAACTCTGAAACCTCAGTCAAGAAGCCATTTATAACACAATGCAATTTCTAGTCACTGCAAAGCCCCCATATGTGAATCTGCACATCATTCTCAACAGCTATTGAGAAGCATTACATGTTATTCACCTGCAGGGAAAGCAATCACACCACACCATATTACCAACCTTACTGTCAGTCTCTGCTACAATTGTCAGGTTTTTAATATTGTTATACAAAAAGAACACTGGAAGATCCCCCCCCCCCCGCATTCTGCTTGTTGGAAATTGTTTCATTCATAGTTCTCATATAAATCTGCCATGAGCTAGTGAGATTCTCCAAATAACATGGGTTTAGGAAAGCAGCCATTTTACAAACAGATGTAGCTCTTTGCTGAAAGATAACTATATGGAACTTATGATAGAAATTTTTAAAAATTTGGAAAAATTGAAAAAAAACTACACTTATCCCTGATGGGTAGAATAGCTACAGTAAAGATGAATGTCCTCCCAAGATTAATCTTTTTATTTCAAACACCACCAATTTTTAAGAATCAACAGTATTTTAAATAACTCAACAAAGTAATGTCATAATTTATATGGCAGAGCAAAAACAAAGAATAAAAATGAAGGCTTTACAAGATGCTAAAGAAAGAGCTGGATTTGTATTATCAGATTGGCTTTTATAGCTTTTATATTACAGAGCAGCAGCATTGACATGGTTAAAAGAATGGATCACATTAGAAAACACTAGAATATTAACTTCGGAGGGGCATGATCTGTCATTAGGTTGGCATGCATTTATGTGCTATGGAAAATCAGATACACACAGCTATTTTAAACAACACTTGATCAGGAAATCTCTACTGATGGTATGGGAAAGGATTAAAAAAATATTTTATACTAAGACACCCAAATGGGTTTCACCACTGGAAGCTTTTACAAATCCAAATGTATTGCAAAAAATATGTTATTGAGATATGAGAACTTGTTAGATAATAAAAATGAATTAAAATCAATAGAAAATCTTAAATAACAAGAGGTTAATATAGGTTGGTGAGAAAGGGTAGAAATAGAGTCGAGATTCACCATTAGGTTTTTACACAAATATAACAGAAATTGATAGGATATTGATATATACTGAAGATAAACTGATTA